TGAGGAAGCTGGGGCAGGTCCTGGGGAACCCCAGGCCATGCAGGGGAGGCGAGGTGGCCACGCCTCTGTCCTTGCTGGGCCTGGACCCCGCCCCAGAGGGGCAGCAGTTTGGAAGGAAGACACAGGCGCCAGTTGAGCAGCAAGAGCCTGGGGGACATCTCGGGGTGACATCCAGGGCCGCACCGGTGTGGGGCCAAGCTGGGCTACAAGCCAGCTGAAGTCTGGGGTCCAGTCATGAGGCCTGCGTGCTTTGGGGTGGAGACGCTATACTCGCTGGGGCGGGGCTGTTCTGCACTCAGATGGGGCCGGGAGTCCACACCCACAACCTGGGGGGACAGAGGGAGTCCACCTCACCCAGGAACCTGGCCCCAACCCCACCTGTCTCTTCTCAGCCAAGCGGAGGGCGGCCACACACCCCTGGACGCCTTCCAGCTTCCAGCCAGCGCGGCCCGCGAGGACGCGTCCAGCCCAGAGCCAGAACCCGCAGGTGAGGCTCCCACCCGACCCTGGAGGCTCCCGGCGACCCCTGGCCCCTGGGCTGTCCAGAAGCCACTAGCCACAGAGGGCTGCTGCTTATGTGAAAACCAAAAATTCAGGTTCAGTCAGACTCGCCACACTTCGAGCATCTTAGCCATAGGTGGCCAGTGGCCCAGGCGTTGTACGGCACAGACACGGTGCATCCTGGTTCCAGGAAAATTCTGTTAGCCTGGGCGAGGCCAGGGTTTCTCAGTCTCCGCTCCACTGCGTTGGGGACCAGGAGACCCTTTGCTTGGGGGCTCCCTGTGCATTGGGGGGTCCCCAGCAGCATCCCTGGGCTCTCCACTGGATGCCAGGAGTCCGTCCTCTGGGGGAACCACCCAATCAATCACTCCACAGACGGCTAGCCCGAGGGCTGGGCACGCGCACACATGGTGCCCTTCAAATCTTCTTCCAGAGCCAGCGCCCCCAGTGCAAGGGAAGCCGGCTGCCCCCCCAGATGAGGAGGAGGCCCCCCAGACCCAGGGCAAGTGCATCAAAGTGGAGCCTGGCCGTGGGGACACGAAAGACCTGGAGGACAGCGGAGACGAGGAGCCAGCTGGCCACGCAGCCCCGCCACCG